GTCTTCTATGAAGGCTCGACGAACCTGGGCTCTGCCACGGCGGTTGAAAGCGGCGAACATTCTTGGAGGAAGGTTGGCTGCTGGCTCGTCGGTTGCTTCCCAGTCTGTAACATACACGCGCTGTCCATCCCTGACGTAGGAATCGGTGATGCTGCGGACGTAGTAGTTTCCTGCTGCCAAGGTCTCGGTCGTCTTCGTCTCTTCGTCGCTACTGCCGCTATCGTCACCAAGAGCTTTATGCAGCGTCAACTTTGCCTCGGCTACGCGCGGCGGTGGGATCCAAATAACGTCGCTCTCACTGTCGCTGTTGTCGCTGTTGGCAGTGTTATTATTCGAGGGTGTCGGCTCTTTTTCTTCGGCGCGTGTTGAGCCTGCATCGAAATGCGTTTCCCCACGAGCATTAGAAGGTGGCTGCTGCTTCTCGTCTGCGTCCAGAGTGGATACGCTGTCTTCAAGCGAGTCGGTCGTAGCGGTATTTTCTGCTCCCATCGGTGTCGCTTTATCCTCAGCGGCGTCACTCGGCTCACGCAGTAGGCCTGACCATGCTTTAACGTAACTACCTTCGATGTGGCGCCGTCCACCTTGGAGAAGGGCAATGAACGCCTCGGACAGAAGACTGGTGAGCTCGCTGGAGTTTGATTCAACTGGGGGAAGCTTGAGTCTTAGGAGTCGAACGGCTTCGTCCGAGAACTTTACACGAGGGTAATTGTCCTTAATAAAAGGTCTAACTGGTCCTGTAAAAACTCTACGACTAAGTGGTCGCATCTTGCAGCTGCAAATTTGACAATGAAGAAACTTTTAAATAACGATCCAGTAACTGAGTATCCAATTTTAGCTAGGTCCCTTTTCTAAAATTAAGAATGAAGTCTTTTTCTAAAAAATAAGAATGAAGTCAAACGTCTCAATCACAAAACAAATTTTCATATTTTGTTGTCTATTTGCGGTTAAACACCTCATGGGTTTCAACTGGTGCGGGGTCAACTGTACCACCAATCGCAATACGAGCACGGAAAGCATTAACATGTGCATCAAGCTTACCTTCACGGTAAATTTTGCGCAGTTGTTTCAGTACACTCGAACCATTTTTTCGCTTTGCCCCGCATTCTTCAAAATACTTGTACAGTTCTTCTTCGGCCTCCATGCCAACACGTTGAACTTGGTCGCAGTAATCCGGAGAGGTATCATCGAGCACGAATCCATTCGGCAAAAACAGCTTCATGTAGTTTACGGTGTGCTTGTAGGCCGACTTCTTTTGACGATCGGAGCATACATTCCACAGGCGCGGGGTCTTCGCATACCACTCAAACCAAATAGCAGAAGGGCTCGTTGGTAACGCCTTGCTTCCACACCCTTTTGGATTAGTGCGCTCAACTTCGGGTGACGACTGCCCTGTCGTGGGTTCACGATCCTGCTGAGTGCGACCCGCTCGCGTCTCAAGCGCTGTGATCCTTTCGGATAGAGCTCGGTTCATCGCCACCAACTCTCCAATTATGCAGTTTTGGTAGTTTATGAGTTTGTCCTCGCTTGTCAATTTCTCGGCATCCCCACTGGATTCCTCAAGCTCTTTCCGCGACGCCTTGCTTTGAAGTTCGGAGCTCCAGGCCATTACTTGCGTGTTGGTCAACCCAAGTGTCATCAAACATTGCCGCATCCTAGCTGCGTACAGGCACATAGGATAACGTTCCAAGACCTCTGGAAAATACTGGATCAACGAAGCCGTAAGGACTTCAGCGACGTGGCTGTTGAGTTTTTTTGTTGGGGTCTTGAGTGTTTACGCTGGATTGAAATAGCAGGTGGCTCAGCTCCAGCGCTCTTTGTCTGCTTGCGGAATCAAACCAAGATAACGTCGGTACTGGAGGCTTCTTGCTTAAATCCCAACCGCTGAGAACGCGAGCTACCTTCTGATCTTCGCTAGTCGTGTTGAAAACGTATGCAAACGCCTTATTCGTTGCTGTCATATTCCATGAGCCCCGATCAAAAATCCACTGAGCACTAAGAAGTGGGTCGCTGTTGGCATGCTGCGCTCCGCCGCGTCGGAACGAATGAGAAGTCAAATTTGCCGTTGGCTTTGCTTTAGCCTGAGCAGCAGAAGCAGACTTGACTACGCGGTTCACGTACGCATGAATCTTCATGTTTTCGTCAGGTAACTTCCGTTTCTTTTGAGGGGGTTCGATTGAGCTATCAAGTTCATCACAGGCATCCAGAGCTTCAGCCAGCGGAATGTCGGTAGGCGCATTCAAATTTTCATCGTGGGTAGCTGCGAGATGAGGGTGCTCGAGCAACTGCGCACAAGGGGCGTCTTGCATCACCAACGCCATAGCAATAGCATGAAGTGGACACGTAATGAAGCTGTGGTGAAGCGCTTGAGAAATTTGGAGAATGTGAGACGGATGGAAATGGACCAATCAGCTGCGAGGGGTCGCCTACTCCAAGTGCGCAACCAGAA